CCCTATACCCATGTGTGAGACCTAGAAGAATCTGGCTTTGAATGGGCACATTTCCAGCCATTGTGGCCATCTGAGAAGTGAACCAGCAGGTGGAAGACTTCTCTCTTTTCTGTCTCTCTGCCTCTGCCTTTCTGTAAGTCTGCCTTTCAAATAAGTAAATTAAAAAAAAAAAAATAGAAGAAGATATGACAACTAAAGGGAGCAATGTGAGATCCCTTATGGCATCTGGACCAGAAAAGGATGTTGATTAAATTTGTTTAAGGTCTATAGATTAGTTAGTAGTATTACTGACTAATATTATATCAGTGTGTGTTCTTGATTGTAATACTTCTGCTATGGTTACATAAAATGGTAACACTGGGGACTGGTATTATGGTGCAATGAGATAATCTGCTGCTTGCAAAGCCAGCATCTCATATCAAAATGCCAGTTTTAGTCCCTGCTGATTTGCTTCCAAATCAGTTTCCAATTCCAGTTTCCAGCTAATGCACCTGGGAAGAAAGTGGAGAATGGTCCAAGTATTTGGGCCCCTGGCTCCTGGGCTTTTGCCTGGCCCACACCTGGTTATCGCAACCATTTAGGGAATTAACCAGGGGGTGAAGGATCTCTGTTTCTCCAGCTGTCTGTCACTCTACCTTTCAAATATTTTTTTTTAAATATTAAATAAAAAAGTTAGGATTGGGTGATAGGTATACACATATTCTTTATATTATTTTTAACTTTTTTAGAAGTCTGAAATCATTTAAAAATAAAGTTTTAAAAAATTGTCAATGTCTTGGCATCCAGCCAAGGTTTGTCTTTTGACAAACCTTTATGTCCATTTTGATCTCTAACAACATCATAAACTTAACACATTGAAAAGTCAAGAATTGGGACAGGCGTTTGTCCCAGTGATTAAGATATTATTTGGGAGGCTCACATCTCACAATACAGAATCCCTGAGTTCATGTCCCAACTCCACTTGTTAGATTCCAGATTCTTTTTTTTTTTTTTTTTGACAGGCAGAGTGGACAGTGAGAGAGAGAGACAGAGAGAAAGGTCTTCCTTTGCCGTTGGTTCACCCTCCAATGGCCGCCGCGGCCAGCGCGCTGCGGCCGGTGCACCACGCTGATCCTATGGCAGGAGCCAGGAGCCAGGTGCTTTTCCTGGTCTCCTATGGGGTGCAGGGCCCAAGCACCTGGGCCATCCTCCACTGCACTCCCTGGCCACAGCAGAGAGCTGTGGAAGAGGGGCAACCGGGACAGAATCCGGCGCCCCGACCGGGACTAGAACCCGGTGTGCCGGCGCCGCTAGGCGGAGGATTAGCCTAGTGAGCCACGGCGCCGGCCCAGATTCCAGATTCTTGTTAATGTGCATCCTTAGCAGGTGATGCATAGCTCAAGTCCTGTCATCTATGTGAGAGACTTAGATTGAATTTCTGGCTTCCTGCTTTGGTGCTTGTTTTAGTCCAGTACAAGCATTTGGGAAGTGAAACAGTGGATGAGAGCTCTGTCTCTCTGCCTTCCAAAAGGGTTGGGGTGGGAAGATAAAACAACTCAATTTTTTTTTTTGACAGGCAGAGTGGACAGTGAGAGAGAGAGACAGAGAGAAAGGTCTTCCTTTGCCATTGGTTCACCCTCCAATGGCTGCCGCGCTGCGGCCAGCACACCGCGCTGATCTGAAGGCAGGAGCCAGGTGCTTCTCCCGGTCTCCCATGGGGTGCAGGGCCCAAGCACTTGGGCCATCCTCCACTGCACTCCCTGGCCACAGCAGAGAGCTGGCCTGGAAGAGGGGCAACCGGGACAGAATCCGGCACCCCGACCGGGACTAGAACCCAGTGTGCCGGCGCCACAAGGCAGAGGATTAGCCTAGTGAGCTGCAGCGCCGGCCACAACTAAAGTATTGATTCTCACGCCTATCAGTTCTTTCTCACAGCCTTAAGAACATCATGCCACTCAATGTATTTTTCGTGGCAGACCTGTGTTTATCATCTCTGGACTTCTCAGTTCTTAATGTCTGTGTGTCTCTGTAGGAGTGGAATATAACTTTTTCAGTATCCTTGTATATGAATTCTGTCTTCTGTGTCATTACTGGTTCTGTGTCTGTTGATTTTTCTTTTCCATATGAATTTAATTTCTTTGGTTCTCTGTATTCCTGCTTATTTTCTTTTGGATGCCAGCCATTGTGAAATTGTTGAGTATTTTTGTATTCCCATCTGTATAATTAGCTTTATTCAGGATTCAGTTAACCTACTTAGAAACAGTTTAATCATTTGGTGATTTGCTTTTTAAGCGTTGTGAGATCAAACTAGAGCAAGCTTTATTACTTTAAGGCTTATATTTTTCCATTACTGAGTATTACCAGGTTTTCTTCTGCAGTTGGTGGGACCTCATGATAACTATATATGGGCTCTGAGAATTATTGTTCTCTTTGTTATTTTCTAGTAGTATTTTCTCTAGCCTCAGGTAATTTCCTGACATATACATGCTTATCAGCAGTCAGATGATGGCTTGATTTTTGTAGCCCTTGGGAGATGTTTTTCTTTCTGTGTGTAGCTTTCTTCCCTCTGATACTCTGCCCTAGGAACTCTAGTTACTTTGACCTCCCCTAACTGGTGATTTTGTCTCTTTTTTCTTACGGATGCTCTCTGGTAGTAAGCTGGAGCAATTGGTAGGGTTACTTTAGTTCTTACCCCTCAGGAATCACTTCCTCTGCCAGTGCTTTTATCTATTTTTTAGTTGTTTCCTGTGAAGAGTAAATCTCATCCCTGGTGCTCCATCTTGACTGGGCACAGAAGTTGGCATTTGTCTTTTAGTTAAAACAAAATCCAGGGAAGGATTCAGATCAGTCTGTATTTTAAGCAAGTTTGGTCTAAATTTATTTCCTCTTGTAATTTCTAGGTATAACATATTAATTTCTAGGTATTTTTATGTCACACATTGAAAAATATAATATAATTTAGTATGCTTATTTTCAGTAATTGCTTTCTGCCCATCCTTGGTTTATGACGTGTAATTCCTTGGTTTTCAGATTAGAAAAAAAAGAATGACATTCTAGATAATTAGGTAAATAATATTTCAGAATATATATAGTAGCCTGTATTTAATAGTACTAAGTTTGGCAAAAAAACCAATTTCCAGCCATCTTATATTTGGAAATAAAGGGTAATAATTTAGTAAGCTCGTGCTTTAGGTTTATGCACATCATTGTTTTTGGTTTGTGGTAAGTCTTTGTTTACTGTATTTTTCTCAAGTTTTTATACATAAAAACTCTAATAAATAAGATTTACATGATTAAGATTTCTCATAATTAGTGTTTATGGAGATAAGTTTGATATTGGAAGGAGAATAATACAAATTTTAGGCATAATGGAAATGTAGATGGGCATTGGGCTTTAATAACGGGGTCAAGAAAATAGAAGTCATGTCTTGGCTCACTTTATTTGTGTTACCTCTTTGAGTCTTGGATTATACATCCACACATAACCCCTTGAACTTTACATTCTTCTTTAAAGTGGCATGGTAATAACTCTGCTCAAAGGCAGTTGTGAGAATTAGATGCATTTTGCGAAAGTGCTTTTAAACTGCAAATGTTGTATATAATCAGGTATTGTTGTGAGGTTTCAACTGAGAAGTATAAGTTTAAACACTATGTATAGTGGGAAAATTTGTGCCTGAACCTAACATTAAAAAGCAGAATTATGGTCTTGGCCTGTGTTTGCTTTGGTTAGATTCAAGATTCTTTTTTTAAATTTTTCTTGTGCCTAAATCAGTATAAATGAGTCATATTGTCAGTTCTCTTGTCATCTGACAGTATACCATTTGTGCTTCACCCACATTTGTGAAAGGTGGGTTATAGAGGGAAGGATGGTATTCGATAGCTTATATCTTTCAACAAAGAATATTTTTCCACAACCCTCATGAGTGTTCCTTAGGAATTAAGAAATACCAACCCTTAGAGTTACAACTAAATGCAATAACTAAGTAATATATAGTGAGAAAATCTGAGGAAGTCATTAAGTTGGATTCTTTGTTCTCTGTAAAGAACAGTTATTATTATAATCCATAGACTGGATTTGATCACTGTGGTGTTTTTGGCCTAAAACACATTCTATAGAATGATATAAGAGCTGTTACTGAGAAAAGGCTACAGAATTATGTGAGGCTTGCCCTATCTTTATGAATCAGATTTTAAGTGGTAACCACAGTTGTTTCTTTGTATGCCATTCATGCTTTAGTAGAGGATATGATGCCATAGAGCTGGTTTGATCTGTAGTTTCTCACTTAAGGTTTGTAGAAGCCACAGCAGTTTTGGTGTATTATCAAACCACAAAATGTACCTTGTTGAATGTTAAGCTGGAGGAAATGTTTTAATATTATTTCATAGTTTCAGTACTGATTGTGGTATTTCCAGTGTAGTCCTATTTTTAAAATATGGCATAAATAAATAAATCCATTTGAAGGGGCTTCAAAGATTCATGGAAATTGAATATTATGAAAACACTGCATGAACATAAAGTTCCTTTGCATAAAATAAATTGATCCTTTATTTATTTCTGAGAGCTACAGATAAAGAATGAAAGAACTCCCATCTGCTGGCTCACCCTGTAAATGCCTGCAGTAGCTGAGGCAGGGTCAGGCAAAGCCAGGAGCTCAGAACTCAGTCTGGTCTCCCACATGGATGTCAGGGACCTAACTGTTTGAGCCACACCTGCTGCCTCCCAGGGTGCTCATTAACATGAAGCTGGAATCACGCATAGAGCCAGGACTTGAACCCAGGCACACTAGTGTGAGACACAAGCATCCCAACCAACTAGGCCAAACACCCGTCTCAAACTTACCTTTTAATTGCATTTATTCCACAAACTTTTTGAAGTGCCCTTGTATATAGCTTGATTTGGGGTATGTGATATTATAGGCATGTAACTACAGACATGTGGAAAACAATTTTGAAAATTAGGATAATGTTTCATACTTGTTAACTTGGCTCTAATATGTTAAATCTCTTTTACTCTACCCTAGCATCAAGGCATGCCATGGGTTGCCTCTCATAAATGGACAGAGTTGTGATCCTTATGCAACAGTTTCTCTGGTGGGCCCTTCTAGGTAATGTTTAATGAATTATTATTAGGTTTTAAAGTTTGATGTAAGAATTAGAAGATTCAGGTTCTGAGAGAAAATGTTAAGTAGTATTTTGACACAAAGTAATGAATGCTTTGAAAAGAAAATATTGAGTGAGTTCAATTATATACTTGTAAATAACCAAGTTCTGTTTTTATGGAGAAAAAAAAATGGTGGTTTCCAATCTGCCATACTCAAACTATGGAAAACAAGCTCAGTTTTTTTTATTAAAATATGTTTTACAACATAAACTTGGTCATCTTCATTAATTAGTTTTCCTACTTTCAAGTGTCCTAAATTTTATACAGATGAAATCCTTTTTAGATATGCCAACTGATACCTACAAAGAAATTTCCATACTTTTATCTGAAGAGCAACTTAGAACTGAAAGTTACCTTTTCTGCTCATGAGATCTGTTCTCTACCGAGAGAATTCCAAGCTGTAAACAAACCACTAGAAGTACTAAAGCATCATATAGTGTGCCACATCATTGATTGAATTATTTTAGAGGACCTATAACACTTTATCGTATTTTATATAACTGTATTGTTCATGATTCCTTCAAGGATTGATTGACCAGTCTGAAATTTCTGTGCAATTTGAAGATTTAAAATCTGGAAACAAAAAGTACACAATTTTCTTTGCATCTCAAGAACTTTCACTTTGTAGAAAATCTCTAATAAGTCACTTTGAAGAATGTGTTTACATACATATGTGTATATATAAAATTCCTAGTACCATGGTTGGTATTCATTGGATACTCAGTAGTATGCTGTTATTACAGTTGGTTTTAAATTTTAAAGCAGATACTCAGTCTTAACAATTTTAAATGCTATCAGTTTTTTGATATAAAAAATGTTAAGCCTAATGATGCTATTTTTTGAAATTTGTCTAGTTGCAGAAATTTTTCAGTGTAATGATAAAGTAATAAAAAATCATGTAAAATGCATATTATGAAAAAACTATGCATAGATTTCAAAATTTTCTGCATTAGAATAAACTCCTTTTAATTCTGTTTTTCCAAGAACTTTTTGATATATGCTCATATAGTTAGAAACTGGCATATAAGCTTGTTTAAAAAGTCTCTGGTTGTTTTACTATAAATGTATTAAATGTTAACGTTTAGGAAAGCTGGGTAAAGGCATAGGGCTTCCCTATACATTTCTTTGTAACCTCCTCTAAAATCACTATTAGAGCTGAAGGCCAAGAAGTAAAATGAGTTAAGAATGCTTTCCATACTTTTATCTGAAGAGCAACTTAGAACTGAAAGTTACCTTTCCTACTCATGAGATCTGTTCTCTACCAAAAGAATTCCAAACTGTAAACAAACCACTAGAAGTACTAGAGCATCATAAAGTGTACCACATATTCCTCAGGTATTTTTCAGCATACATAAATATGCTCTAAATCCCACTACCTTCCTTCTTAACCATGTATTCTGAGTTGCTCATGTAGTAGAATGTGTTAGTGCAGACCTGAACAAAGCTTGACCATCAGTCTAGTATACCAATAGAGAGAATTCTACAATATTAGCATATGAGTACATAGGATATAAAAAACTTACACATTCTAGAGCATCACACACACACACGCACACACATACATGTACACACGTACGTAATATTTTGAAGCTACAGCCTTCCCTGAGTCACCTTAACATTTAAACAAAGATCAGGCTCCCTGGTTGGAAATAGCATGTTTTATAATTGTGTACTATTAAGTTCTACAAGGTAAAACTCTACCACATTGGAACAGGAATGATCAAAAGAAGACAAAAGTAAAGAAGAAAACAAGCAATCCGCAGTTTAATGAAATCTTTTACTTTGAGGTAATTTTTTGTTTTATATATATGTGAACATTGAGTATTTAATATTGAATACTGGTTTCTTTTCACAAATCATGACCATAATATTTTATTAACCAATGCAAGTATACATATCTCTCTTGAAAAAGCAGAACTATGGTGTAATATAATGGAGGCCCAATATATAAAATGAATAAAGGCAGAGGTCTGAGTGATTTGGGAGTAGAGAGGGCTAGGGCCACACATATTCCCCAGTTATTCTCATTATCACCCCCACCACCACCAACGTTCAGCCTCCACTCGACACCCAGTGACCACAGGACTCTTCTTCAGAGTACAGGTTGAAAACCACCAATGAAGTATAATTATCATTTGGTAGATCTGAACTCTAGTTCCAATTGACTTTGAATAAGTAACTGTTTGAGTCATGTTTCTTATCTTATAAAAGGATAATATTGTAAGGGAAAAACAGTAGCAGTCCTGCCTAACTCAGAGCATATAACATTCTTTGAGATTAAAATACTGTATGATTAGAGCCTTATTATTAAGTTTTTTTTAGCCTAACTCACTTTACAGACACATAGTTGTTTTCGTAGAGATCTTCGGCTGCCTTGAAGTTTCAAAAACAGGGCTTTGGAGTTCTTTAAAGCATTTCTTAGGTTTTTTTTCCCCCATCTTATTTGAAGACTACATTAAAAATAAAGTTATATGAGGTTGTAAAAAGTGGAACATATTGTGGTTGAGATTAACATGTAGCAAAGGTTTGAAAAGGGCAGTTAAATTTTGTCCTTTTCTTCTGCTGGAGTTTTTCTTGGTATTTCAAAGTGGAAAGTGTTAGGGTACCTGTGGTTATTCAAACACACAGGCTGAAGAAATGCCAGAAGTAAAGTATGAACAACTATGGGAGAAGGGAGGGAGAATGAAAACAAAAGAAAATATACCAGTATGAAATTTCTCCATTGCCTGGCTAAGAACTTGGTATAGTTGTTTTTCTGTACTACTTAATGGCTGTTATATCCAACCTGGAGGAAACAAGACAGCAACTTAAAGGGCTACTGACTGACTAACAGCTCTTACACTTAGTCCACATACCTTAAACTTCAGCTCAAATGAAATCTGTGCTTCACAAGTCTGTGTCCTTGCTGAAAGTAGATGACCCTTTAAAAGTCAAGGCCAGGCCGGCGCCACGGCTCACTAGGCTAATCCTCCGCCTAGCGGCGCCGGCACACCGGGTTCTAGTCCTGGTCGGGGCGCCGGATTCTGTCCCGGTTGCCCCTCTTCCAGGCCAGCCCTCTGCTGTGGCCAGGGAGTGCAGTGGAGGATGGCCCAGGTGCTTGGGCCCTGCACCCCATAGGAGACCAGGAAAAGCACCTGGCTCCTGGCTCCTGCCATTGGATCAGCACGGTGCGCCGGCCGCAGCGGCCATTGGAGGGTAAACCAACGGCAAAAGGAAGACCTTTCTCTCTGTCTCTCTCTCTCACTGTCCACTCTGCCTGTCAAAAAAAAAAAAAAAAAAAAAAAAAAAAAAGTCAAGGCCTAACCTGCTTGCTATACCAAGAGTATCTGTTAGGGTTTTGAAACATTTCTTCAGAGGGCCCTTTATTGAGTTGGTTATAAAGACAGATAAGGTTTAATCTCTGTTCTCTAGAGTGGGAGACTTCCCACATGCCTTCACGTGCATGCATATGCACAGCAGTGAAACATACTGGATACTGGGAGGTCAGGCAAGGCGTCCTTGAGCTAAGGTGGTTAGGAAAGGCTTAAAGAGAGACTGGATTTTCTTAGGAGGAAAGATTATTAGAGACAAGGAACATTTTCAGCAAGGGACAGACACAAAAAAGCAGAAAAGTTATTTCTGAAGAACAGCAGGTACGGTTAACTGTGTTTATTTAAGAAAATAAAGATTGGGAAGATGAGTAGGTCCAGCTAATGGAGGGCCTCAGGTGCCTTGCTGGGGTGAATAAATTTTAGCTGTTGAATGTTTTTGAGTTTGGAAGTCATAGTAATAAAGCAGTGTTTTGGAAAAAATATTAACCATTATCTGTGGGCCAGGTAGTTTCGGAAGAAAACAAAGTTCTAGAAATTGTTGTAGCTTGGGTCTAAAAAGGTGGAGGGTATGTGTTCCAAGAGAGTATATGGAAATAGAGAATTCAGGGCAGATAAGGAAGAGCCTGCAAAGGGCAAGATAACAAATTGGTTACAGAATAAAAGAAAAAGAGGAGTCAAATATTGCCTCCTTCTGGCAAAACAGAGTTAGGAGGAAGGAAAAGATGATTGTTTAGTTTGGGGGATAGTAGATTTGAGATCTAATATATAAAATCCTCTAGTAGGCAGTTCATGGATGAAATGTAAGATGGAAGATGATTATAGAACTCAGAATTTGTTTACAAAGAGTCAGAAAATCCAAGGCAGTACAGGTGTACAGTAAAAGAAGAGTGAAGAAGCTTAGTTTACAACTTATTTAGTATGCAACTTTGAGCTTGCCACTTAATTTCTGTACTTTAACTTCCTCATTTTTAAGATGAGGATAATAAATCTAGCTAGTTAGAGCAGCATTCTGATGTATAAAGAGATAAAGGATGTGATAGTGCTGTGCAGCTCTTGGTTGTTTTCAGAGTAAAAAGATAAAACATCTCGAATACCCATGTTTATGGGTTTTGAGGAAGAAATAGAACAGCAAAAGGTTGTGAGGTTATATCTAGGTAAACTGGAAAAGAGCATTTCTGGGCAAGGATTATAGCTGTATGATCACTAGGTCAGAGAGACAGAGGTCAGGAAAAGTGAAAACTAGAAACTGATAATCAGATTTGGTGATGAACAGAGATTTTAGGAGGGTGTTGTGAGAAAGCCAGATTGCTAGGAGTTAACTGAAGTGAGTAGGCGATGAGCAAGTGCAGGCTCTAGGATAGATTACAGTTATAAGATATTTGAGAAAAAGAAAGAGGCAGGAAGACCAGAATTTAGGGAGAAAATTTTTCATAGACTTGAGTGAGATGAACAAGCTGGTGATGCTGCAAGTAAAATACTAAGTGCTTACTGCATGCTTATTACATCGTATGTGTGGCTAGGGGTAGTTTTAGAAGAGAAGCAGCATCCTCACGAGGAGAAAAGGATGAGAAAGTTCATCAAGTATAGAGAGGCTATGTGGGAATGGACTTGTTCAGTGGGTGGTGGTTGAGGAAGTGTCTGCCGATGGCCTTGATATTTTCTGCAGAAGTTTGAGCAGGAAGTGTGGGTGGGATTGGTATCTTGAGAAATGTGGAAAAGTCTTTGAGTAGTTCTTAGCACAGAAATAGAATGTTTTTATTCCCATGGTCACCAACAATCAACCAAAGTACTTAATGTTGCCATGTGAGTTGACAGGAATGCCATGAAGGCAAGGATCCTTTTTTATACCATTTTATTTTTACCTTGCATTGTTGTTATATTCAACTTCTGGGTAAAATATTTCTCTTCTACTGTTATCCAGAATTGAGTATTTTGGGAATGATAATTTTGAAGTTCATGTTGGAAAAAAGATACTAATTTTTTTTTTTACTGAAATATTTTGTTGATAGGTAACCAGATCCAGTAGTTACACCAGAAAGTCCCAGTTCCAGGTAGAAGAGGAGGACATTGAAAAGCTAGAAATTAGGTATGTACCTTGTGATTTTTACAGAATTGTTTTTTCTGTGCCAAAAGATAATCCTAATTTTAACTGAAAAAAGATAAACCAACCTTGATAGAATTTTCATAGTTGATGAAACTTAAGAGGAACTTGCATCTAATTTAAATGTAAGTTATCTTTCCAAAATACTTTGCATAAATAGTCAAGGTATATTTATTTTATAAACAAAGATGACCTAATTTTTGCCTTTTTTGTATTTTTTTCTCAAATTTAATTATTCCTTAAATATCTGGATCATAACATAATCAAAACAATTGCATCTCAGTCATTTTAGAAATAATTTTTTTATTCTTCTTAACATATCTGCTGACTAACAGAAATTTCAGTGAGGTAAGAAGATAATTCAACAGGTGCATGTGTTTGAAGTTTGTGCTATATCCTAGGTCTTAAATATCTGTGCTGTTTTGGAAGGGAAAGCTTTGTAAATGCATGTGTAGGTGTGGTGTTAACAGTGTGTTAATCTAAAAGGTATATTTAATAATGTTTGGAGTGATCAGGTAATCTATTTGTGTAAATCACCTATCTTTGCATATTAATGGGTTATAATAGAGAAACTAGCCATGTTGGTTTCTTATCTCAAATTCAACAAAGTAACTCTGTAGTCCTTACTGCTGTAGGATAAAATAAAACCTAGAATTTCAAACTAAGAAACTTAAATGCCTTCTTTTAGAAAATTGTCAAATTGGTACCTTTTTGTGCTATTAAATAAAAGCTACTACAGTATTTTGCTTTTCTAGTCTAAATAATGAGGTATGTTACAATGCTAACATCTTTTACTTTTGAGCATGTAAAATTAATGCCATGATACACATCAAAGTAATTTGAAACTATTTGGTAGTATGCGTTAGCTTTAAACATTATTTACAAACAATAAAGCCGTTTTTCAATTTACAGGATTGACTTGTGGAACAATGGAAACTTGGTCCAAGATGTTTTCTTAGGTGAGATTAAGGTTCCTGTGAATGTGTTAAGAAATGATTCCTCTCATCAAGCCTGGTAAGAAAACATTCTAGAGAACTCCATAATTTAATCATTTAAGATAAACAGTATGCATGGAAATAATGCTTACTTAGGGGAACAGGTGTTTGGCATTAAAATTTCTGCATCACATGTTAGAGAGCCTGGGTTTGAGTCCTGGTTCCAACTTCCTGCTAATGCATTTCCTGAGAGGTAACAGATGATGGATGGCTCAAGTAGTTGGGTCTCAGCCACTGGCTTCAGCCCAGCCCTGGTTGTTGTGGGCATTTGGGGAGTAACCAGTGGATGGGAGATGTCTGTCTGTTTCTGTCTTCCTTTCAAATAAACATACAAATGCTTACTCTGAACATTTTTTAAATTTGCCAGGGAATAGGCCAAAATTTGTTAATGTTGATTAATCTGGGTATTCATTATTGCACATTGAGAGTTTTATGACTTGAACTGTAGTACTGAGGCAAAAGAACTGAATTGTATTTGAATATTTTTCTGTTTAAAAATAAAATGTTAAGCTCTAATAAAATGGAAAACATTTAAAACCTTATGTAAAAAATTGCCCTTGTGAAAAGATGCTTGGTCACAAGTCAGCATCTTCAATTCAGAGACTTTATTATTGGTCATAGAAACTGTGGATATTTAGAAGCAAAGTCTTTTTCTTTTTTAGAAACCTTTTATTTAATAAGTACAAATTTCATAGGTACAACTTACAGAATATAGTAATTCTTCCCACCACACCCACCCTCCCACCCCCACTGTCACCCCACCACCTCCTCCCTCTCCCATTCCCAGTCCCATTCTGCATTAAGATTCCTTTTCAATTAACTTTATACACAGAAGACCAACTCTAGGCTAGGTAAAGATTTCTACAATTTGCACAAACACATACACAAAATATATAAAAAAAAAAAAAAACTTTGAGGACAAGTTTTCGAGTTAAGGAAGTGGTCTTTGTTCAGGGGACTCCGTGATAGGTGAGAACTAACCGGTGATTCTCCTTCACCCATACCCCATCAAAGTGCCCTGGAGATGGCCCTTATGTCATTTTCCTGACTCTTTAGGGTCTGAATGTTGTTGATCTCTTTCATTTAACATACTTTGCAGGAGCTGTGGGAGCCAAATGATGACTTCAATTTTATTTTACTATTTCGTGACTAATGGTGATACTAAACTGATGTTAAATTGAATGTTCAGACATTAAATTGACGCTGATTTCTTGAAATATATGATGTGAAACTATTTTTTTCCTGTTTACAGCACTTAAAGCTGTGTGTGTTGTCTCCTTCTAATAGGTTGACTAGTATTCCTCATTCTAGCCTTGGGTTTCTACTGTGTGTAAATGAACATGTGTTTCTCATTTACCTTTTTTTTTTTTAAAGATTTAATTATTCATTTGAAAGGTAGAGATACAGAGAGAGAAGGAAAGGGAGGGAGGGAGAGAGATCTTCCATCTGCTGGTTCATTCCCCAAATGGCCACAAAATCTGGGGCGTGGCCAGATTTTGGAAGCCAGGAGCGCTTCTGGGTCTCCCACATGGTTGCAGAGGCTCAGGTACTTGGGCCATCTTCTGCTGAATTGAAAGTGGAGCAGGGGCCAGCACTGTGGTGCAGTGGGCTAATACCCTGGCCTGAAGTGTCAGCATCCCGTATGGGCTCTGGTTCTGATCCTGGCCGCTCCTCTTCTGATCCAGCTCTCTGCTGTGGCCTGGGATGGCAGTAGAGGATGGCCCAGGTCCTTGGGCCCCTGCACCCACATGGGAGACCAGGAGGAAGCTCCTGGCTCCTGGCTTCAGATCAGCTCAGCTCCGGCCATTGGGGCCATCTGGGGAGTGAACCAGCAGATGGAAAACCTCTCTCTCTCTCTCTCTGACTCTGCCTCTCTGTAACTCTTTCAAATAAATAAAATAAATCTTAAAAAAAAAGAAAAAGAAAGAAAGTGGAGCAGCCAGGACTCCATCTAGCTCCTAAATGGGATGCCGGCACTGCAAGTGTAGGCTTAACCTACTACACACAGCACCAGCCCCCCTCATTTATCTTTTAAAGACAACTTTTTTGGGCTCAGTTTCTGCTTCCTGGAAGAAGAGTTGAAATGGTAATGAGATGTTTCTTAGGGGTTTCAGTTTCAGTTGTCCTCCAAAGAGCCTGCTTCCCCTGATTTGCCACCAGATACTCTTCATTCTAGAATCTGTATCCTCAAGAAATTTCCCCTTTTAGACTGATTTTTAGGTTCTCAAATTTTTAATATTATTTTTACTTCTCTAAGCTAAGATTTAGTGATCTTTATGATGATATTTTTATATGGTTAATTTTTTTTATTTATTTGAGAAGTAGAGTTACACACGCAGAGAAAGAGAGAGAGAGACAGAGATCTTCTATCCACTGGCTCACTTCCCAAATGACTGCAACAGCCTGGGGCTGGGTATAGGGGCCCAACTTGGGCCATCCTCTACTGCTTTCCCAGGCACATGAACAGGGAACTGGATTGGAGGTGGAGCAGCCAGGACTCGAACCCATAACCATGTGAGATGCTGACATCGCAGGCAGTGGTTAACCTGCTATGCTACAGTGCTGGCCCCGATCTGGTATAATTTATAAAATACCTCTGCAGAGGGAAAAAAATTTAAACTAAATCTCTGTGAAAAATTGGTGAACCTTTGGGGGCCTAGCCCCCCTCCCTCATACCATATCCTCTTCCACCTTTTGTTTTTTGAAAGTCAAAGTTAGAGAGAGAGAGGGAGAAACACAGAGAGCGCGCTTCATCCTGGTGTCCCATGAGGGTGGCAGTGGCCCAAACACTTGGACTGTCTTCTGCTGCTTTCCCAGGAGCATTAGCATGGAGCTGAATCAGAAGTAGAACAGCCCAAACTTGAACTGGAGCCCATATGTGACTCCAGTGTTGCAAGCAGTGACTTTACCTTGCTATGCCACAACACTGGCCCCTTCCACCTCCTATAAATAACATACATTTTAAAAATGGAAATTTCTCAACTTAATTTGTCAAATATTTAAAATTATGCAGTATTCCTCAGTATATTAGAGAAAAATGAGTTGTTATGCCTCCTGGGGCCCCTCCAGATGAATTTGAAACGTGCCACACTGCCTGTAGTTAGTTGGACCTATCTCCAGACAACTCTCCAAATTTGGCAAAACTATGTCCAGTTATCTTGGTTGGATATAACAACATTAACAGAAATTAATTCTATTCCTACAGGGCTTTTTAATATTGTAAATACTTTATAGTAACCTGCCTAAATAAAAGTGCTAAAATTTTACAACATGAAATAAACATCTGCTAATTCATTTATACTTACATAGATATAAGGGTCTATAAAAATGTGAATGCCATTTCCTTTTAAGTCAGAAATAAAACTTTTAGCCTTTTCATCACTTACTGAGTTGTAGCATCCCCTTGTGGGATTTAACTGCATGAAAACTTAACAGAAGCTTTATCTACCTTCAGGATGTCAAGCATATTCTTTTTAGATCTGATATTAGCAAAGAATTAGAATAATTATCAGTATTGTAATTCTGTTGTTTTAAAGACTTAATTTGCTTTTCTTTTACAAATAATGTCTAGTAGTATTTGTGTATTAGGTTTTCTAAAAACTGATACTTTTGTGGTTCTAGTTTATTTTCAAATTATAACATGATGATTGAATTACCTTCCCCCTCTTTTCTTAGCACTTGAGGTTTTTTGTTTTTGTTTTTGTTTTTTAAGATTTTTTTTTTTTTATTTGAAAGACAGAGTTACAGAGAGAGGTAGAGACAGAGAGAGGTCTTCCATCCGCTGGTTCACTTCCCAGATGGCCGCAACGGCCAGAGCTGAGCTGATCTGAAGCCAGGATGCCAGGAGCTTCTTCCATGTGGGTGCAGGGGCCCAAGGACTTGGGCTATATTCTACTGCTTTCCGAGGCCACAGCAGAGAGCTGGATCGGAAGTGGAACAGCCAGGTCTCGAATTGGTACCTATATGGGATGCCGGGACCAGAACCGGCGTCCATATGGGATGCCGGTGCTTCAGGCCAGGGCTTTAAGCTGCTGCGCCACAACACCTGCCACAGCAGTTGAGTTTCTTAGTAATGAATGTGTGTTTTATACTGATGCTTCTGTCAAATGTTAGGGTTACATTTTAGTGCTTATGTTAACTGGTTTTTACTTTAACTTATGTAGTTATGGAGTAGGTAATATACTCATATGAGTAGGTAATATACTCATGGTTCATGGGCCTAAAGATAGACGTCTGTCTCCTGTCCTGTCCCCCCAGATGCTTAGTTTCCCACTTATGAGGCACTTCTATTTTTAAATCTCCAAAAAATATTTTATGTATATACAGGCAAATACATATCTTTCCCTTTTGTATGAATAGACAAATGCTATAGCCCATTCTTCACCTTGCTTTTTACACTTAACAATATAGTAGAACATCAGTAAATAAACACTTTCTGACTCTTGATAATGCATAAGAGTATAGACTCTGGAACCAAACTGCCTTGGTTCAGATCCCATCTTTAGCATTAACTACCTATGTGACCTTGGATAAGGTACTCAAACTATTTATAAGGTTTCTTTGGCATAAAATGGGGTTGAGAGAATACCTACCTCCTAAAATTAAGAGAATAAAATGAGTTCATGTAACGTAAGCTCCAAGTAGTGCTTATGTGTATAACTCCTGCTATTATTGTGGAAATTTTTGCTACCATTATTACCATTGTTCCAAATAAATACATATAGGATGTTCACATCTTTTGTTTGTTTTTGGGATGGTGTTCCACTGTTTGGAATGTTATGAAGAGAACCTTAAAGATAATCTAGTTCAATCCCATTTCACCAGTAACAGATAATGTGTACAAACTGTTCATGTGTTTGTACAGATTTATACAATAATTTCCCCCTAAAGATTCAACGTGTAAACAAAATAACATTCAGGAAAGATAATAGGTTAAAGTATTTTTCCATGTTAGAATTTTTAATTTTGTGAGGTTCAAATAGTAGATAAATAATTAGTATTTTTTCTAACATAAGCACT